CCTCCTTTTTCCCCTCCCTTGTTAGGAATTCCCTAATGGTTCCTGTCATCTAGCCATAGTGCTTGTTTCCTCTTTCTCATCCAGCCAGAAGTGAAGTTTACCTGCCCGCTCTTCTAATCTCTATTGTGCACTTCTAACCCAGAAAGAAAAGACAGTGTCCCTTCTGTCATCCATATCTCTCAACCTCTTTAGTGCTCCTTTTATCAATGTAAAATAATTACCTTGAGAACACATGACTGAGGTACAAGAAGGGTCAGGCAGAGCATCACTCTTCTCTTCTCCTGTGCCAGCCTGAGCCCTGGCAGTCTCACTAACTGTACATAAAGGAATTTCTTGGAGAACTTTATATCAGTTTCGGTGGCCAGCCAGTGCTTATCCCCCCCACAAATAAAAGTCCCCCTTCATCCACCTCTACCAGCACCACCAGCTACCAGATGCCAGGCATTCCACTTTAAGGTTATAGGAGATAAAGGTTGGGCTCCATCACCCGAATAATATGCCACATTGAGGCTAAGCCAAGTGCCACAGGCTTATCATGATATAGCGATGGAGAGGAACAGAGATTATGAGTTAATTTACAATAATAATAATGATGTGAAATATTATTATAGTTTAACATAGCTGTTTTCTTTTTTTAAATATAATATATTTCAGTGAATTTTAATCAGTTATTACTCCAGTCTTCAGTCACGTGATTCTTCAGAAATCATTCTAATATGCTGATTTGCTGCTGAAGAAACATTTATTATTATCAATGTTAAAAAGCTGTTGTGCTGTTTAATATTTTTGTGGAAAGCAAGAATTGTTTGAATATGGCATTCAAAAGAACAGCATTTGTTTTAAATATAATTTTTGCTCTAATGTCAAATGTATTTACTGTCACTTTTGATCAATTTAATGATTCCTTGCTGAATAAGAGTATTAATTTCTTTCAAACTAAATTATACTGTGAATGTATGTGTTCATTTCTTGCTAGTGAATAACAATTTGAATGTTGTGTTTGTTCACAAAATGGCCATCTTGACACAGTGGCAACACATTTAAAGGGGGCGGGAGGAGTATCAATAATTATATTAATTTCAACAATTATTGTTAAACAATTATATTCATTTAGTAACATATAACTATATCTTAGTGTAGGCTATATCTTTAGATTTCTGTAATTCATTATCTTCTTGTTGATCCACCGGTTCACATTTACAACTGCGTGTTTTCTGCGTAAAAATAAGGGTCGATTTTGTCTAAGGTCTAAACAAAAAGAGCAGAAGGGCTTATTGACAAATGCAAATTCGTTCTCTCCCAGCAGGTGGCACTTTTGGAATGGCAGAAATACAGCCGTTTCTCTGGTAACCGCAGTAAACAAAGCAGAGCAGCACCTAACTTTGAAACTTGCAGTGCTCATATTTGATCAATTAAACCATAGCCTTCTGAAGTGTAAGCTATATCTCAATTTACATTTCGCCAAAGCACCACCTGAGTTTTCTCCTCCCATTTCTACTAGTAACACTTGTTTCCTTTCCGCGCTACTACCTGCGCAGATCAACAGCACCACTGGATTGTAGGTTGCCAAGTTGAGGTCACAAATGGGTTGAAATTTGTGTGTGTCAATTGTGTGAGAAGGATGTGTTTCATACAAGATCTGGCAACCGGACAACCTTGGAATATGTTGACATGATTATTCATATAATGAGGTTTGGGCCATTCAAATTACAGGAGTTTTACCGGAGGCGAATGTAGCAAACATTTCAAGTATGCCCAGTGGGATTTTTTATAGAAAGATTAAAAATACGGGAGAAATACAGGAAAATATTTAAATGGGATGATAGCGGGATAGAACGGTAAAATATGGGAGAATCCTGGGAGAAACAGGAGGGTTGACAGGTATGATGGTGGGTTGCGTCCTTTCTGACGTTTTAGTGTTCATTGGTTGTAACGTTTAAAAGCCCTCAAGACACTTGTTTTACATCAGTTTAAATGACGAAGAATTTTCCATCTTGGATTTGATTTCCTTTGATACCCATTTGGAGTTCAGTGGTTGACTAGCGCCTCTAGTGGTGTAGTGGTGTCTGCCTTTTCCTCTGGTTCCTCTCTCCTAATAGTTCTGCTATCTTTTATGAATATGTTTTTTTTTTATAAATAATTAACTTTTGCATGAATAGCCAAGAGACTGTAGTGTACTTTTATTGTATAAACAAAAACAGTTGAAACATTCAAAATATATAAATATATTATTTTGTGTTACTTTGCAGGATGAGTACATGATGACAGAATCAGGAACTGTCCCTTTAACAGTGAGACTAATTAGTTTCATAGGTCCTCCGTCAGTCATAGCAAGAGCAAAACATTTCTGTGGACGTCAAGACCAGAAGTGGTTCACTGAAGGATCTTTGACTGTTTTCTTCGGTTAATGGCATGATCATGAGCAAAGATTAGTAAGATTATTACGTTTGGGAGCAAAAGCGAGGTCTGTTTTCTCTTTGCAAAGCACTATTCATACTCATTTCAATATCTGATAATCTTTGAGTGACTCTCATTGAGAAAATTGCTTGGATAGATCAAACGAACCAGCAAAGAACACAAAAGGCCATTGCTATTAAAGTTTGTGGCTAATGATGGTCTTCAAAGCCCCCAACCCACTGAGGAGAGCAGTCATTACAAAAATATGCTTGTCCGCATATGAAACAGTTCACCTGGTCATGAAAACTAAGAGCTTAGTCTCGCCTCACTCCTTTTTATCACGCATACGCAGAGGTAGCCAACAACATCGTTCAAGAACACAATAGGTTATATTTATCCAGCACTAGTAAAGGTTTGGATTCATACGAGAGTGCTAAATCAACTCTTTAAGGAGTGTTTGGGTTCAGTACGAGTTTTTGCCATTTTTGCCATGATGTTGATTACCACAAAACAATAATTTAAAAAAAAAAGAAAGAGAGAGAGAGAGAGAGAGAGAGAAAGAAGAAAAATTGTGGTTATGGTGAGATGCAAACAATGGAAGCAAAGGGGGCCAATTTTTGCAGAATTTAAAAGAAAGGTGATGTTTGAGAAGTTTATAGCTTTTATAAAAGCATTTCAATTATTAGTGTTAAAATGTGTGTATTAATTGAGCTGTAAAATTGTTCTTCTCATTTTTATTATTGTTTTATGATTTTAGATGTTTTCATGGCAACAATGCTATGTTATAAATTGTATACAATGTCATAAAAAAACAAGGAGGCTAATTCGTACAAATTCATTCAATTTGTGAAAAATCGTAAGCATTTTACGAGGTGACAATTTTGTAGGAATTTGTACGAAGGACCACACCTAACCCTGCCCCTAAATTTGACCGTCACAGAAATCGTACTACAAAATTGAACGAGTGAGGTCGTATGAATTCGTACAAATTATCCACCTCATAAAATACGTACGAATTGGCTGTGAGATAGCATTGGAATTTTATTTCATCGCTATCATGTTTTGTCAAGACCCAACCCATGAATTGCACAAACACAAATGTGTTTACTTGAACATTGGGTCCAAATTTCAAAGCCTGCCATATGAACGCAGTGCATGTAAACAGCTCAGTAATTAGCCGCGTGCCTCTTTTTTGTCTGTTCCATTACTTACGAGACACACAAACTGAGATTAGCATCTGATAACGCACCTAATATCCAGCCATGTCAGGGGCTGCATGGATGGAAGGTATCCAGTGCCTAGTCTTAGCCGTAGCTCCCTCCGAGCACAATGCCCCACTTGTTGCCCCGTCTTCTCTTGCATGATCCAAAGCCATATCAGGCCCTTCCCGAGGCTTCAAATCCTCAATTTTTCAGTGCGCACTCAATCTAATCTTGGGTTTTATGATTGGATATTACGATAAAGTTGCAAATTATCTACAGATCGTATATTGTTGCACAGTGGCTAATTAGAACTGAATGAGCTCATTGTTATCGGAAAAGCGTATCAGATGAGGAGCAAAGCACCGCGATGATGGTTAATTTAGGTCTAGATAAGAGATTCTGTAACAGTGCTTGTTCTTACACACTCTTCGCACAATTATGCAAGATAATCGAGGGATATTTATTCCTGGAGAATTCGAATCGGGTAATAGGGGCCATTAACTGTGCTAATGCATATCTCCGATTGTATCCTCAAAACGCTGCTTTACACATTCTGAATTAAGCATTTGTACATATTATCGTAGCAATTCATGCGGGAAAGGTTCCACCTGAGAACTGTTGCTAAGTGGTTCGCAGTCTAGATCAGTCAGCCAAGAAATTTAATCTCATCTCATAAAACTGATTGGTTTAATTGGCTGTGAGTCTGGCAAGATTACACAAAAACAGACTTCCACTGTACTTGCTGCTGCTTACGTGCTTATAATCTTGTGCTGGAGCATTTGGGACAGCAAATTTGAGCCGTTTTGTGAAAGAATGCTTTCGCTGAGGTGAAATCGATGCACTGTGAGCTGCGCCAGCACAGTCTGAATTTTCCAAAAGGTGCTTTCTTGGAAAGATTTGTCTGTTTGTATGAGTGCAAGCATTTGTTTGCAGATGTTTATGTTGGAGGTGGGAAAACAAGGGCTTAAATGGTTACCGGGAAAAGAGGAGGGGTGCAAATCCATCCCTTTCCTCCACCTACCCCACCCCATCCTCTATACTGCTTCCTTATTCTGCCCGGCCACAGACACTTGCCTTTTGTATGGAGGGAACCAGAGAAACAATCCACTCTCTCTGTTTGGAAAACAAATACTTGCAAGAAAAGAGACTGGGAGCTTTCAGGTGCTTTGCCCCCAGTTAAAAGCCCTGTAAGGAGGGCTTCTAGCCTGGAGTCAGGAGAGCCACTGCCTCGTGAAGTTGAGCACCCTGCCTCTCACATTCTCCCTCTCCCTCTCTCTCTCTTTCTTTCTCTCTCCCTCCTACTTTCCACCCTGTGAGAGTGCACAGAGATTCAGAAGGTGCGTCTGAAATCTACTTGTATCCAGGCTGGAGACAGCACCACAAGGACTTTTTCCCCCTTTACTGCAACAAGCACGTGGACTTAATTTTCACCAGAGACAGAAATAAGAATAAAAAGCAGACTGGCACCTGCCATTGAGAAGCAGAACTTTCTCTAGAGTTGTTCGTACTTTCTGCGCATTTGTAAACAATATTTGACTGCGACCAAGTGCCAAGGCATTCCCGAGACTTCCCTGTCTTCTGGGATCCCGTCACATCTTCTCAAGTTATTTCTCTAGAGATGACTGTCTGAAGAAGGAACGCAGAAAAGAAGCCACCTGACCTGCAGAAGTTACCTGCCTGAGTAATTGAGGTGAAGCAGAAGGGTGAGGTAAGTTCATATCTGAATCTTTCATTTTCCTTCCCCTCCGGGTGCAGGCATATGTCATCTCTGAAAATGTTTTTCATATCCCGTTGCTTCACAGCAATTGAATCCAAATGCAAGAGAGAGAGAGAGAGAGAGAGAGAGAGAGAGAGAGAGAGAGAGGGAGGGAGGGAGGAAAAACAGTTGGGTTCACATCTCAATCATGAGACCAACATAATTCTCAACGCACTGCTACACACAAGGCAGATTAACAGAATGTTTTAATGCTCTACCCCCATTAATCTCTGCAAAATATGTGGCGCATTTTTCTAAACAGAGCCATGTGGCTACTATTGCATTAATGCTAATGCTGCATGTGTGTGTTTGTGGTTTGCGTGTGCTTGTGGCTGTGTGGTGCAGGTAGTGTGGTAGGTCTCACAGCTGTTTTGGAGTCGGCGAGGGAGAGAGTTATATAACTGCAGCAGTCTCACTCTCACTGACACCTGGGACTGTTTGGTCTGCACTCTGTTGCGCACCAGTGCCGCTCACTTAAATTTAGCTCCGCCCACAGTGTTCTGAAGTCCATGCCCACTTTTCAGCTTCTGAAAGCATTTAATTTTGACCTGTGAGACATAGTCCACTTCAGAGGTTAAAATGTTACATCAAATCGGCTCTTTTGAAGTCAACATGAAACCAAAATGTGCGTTATTATTATTATTGTTTTTCTTGTTCTTGTTCTTGTTGTTCTGAAAGTGCTTTGACCTCTCAGACATTTCAGAGGTTTAAATCACATTAAATCTTTTAATCTTTTATTTATTTTAAAGTCAACATGAAACCGAAATGAACCCTGTTTATTATTAGTAGTGTTATTTTTATGGAAGTGTTGCATTTTGACCTGTCAGGTATAGTTCACTTCAGAAGTCAAATCGTCATTTTAAGTCGTCATGAAAACAAAATGCACCCTATATATTGTTGTTATTATTATTATTATTATTATTATTATTATTAATCACTATTATTATTATGAAAGTGTTGCATTTGGATCTGTCAGGTGTAGTTCACTTCAGAGGTTAAATCAAAATGGACCCTATTTATTATTAGTAAAAGTAATAATAATGCCCATTTATTAGGAGGCAATCGATTTTTAATGGACAAAATTTTGCCATCCTTAATTTTTCTCTTTAAATAATCTAAAAATAATATGTCCGATGTCAGGTATAGTTCACTTCAGAAATCAAATCGTCATTTTAAGTCGTCATGAAAACAAAATGCACCCTATATATTGTTGTTATTATTATTATTATTATTATTATTATTATTATTAATCACTATTATTATTATGAAAGTGTTGCATTTGGATCTGTCAGGTGTAGTTCACTTCAGAGGTTAAATCAAAATGGACCCTATTTATTATTAGTAAAAGTAATAATAATGCCCATTTATTAGGAGGCAATCGATTTTTAATGGACAAAATTTTGCCATCCTTAATTTTTCTCTTTAAATAATCTAAAAATAATATGTCCGATTATGTCGCAAAAGGCATTTAATGTTGACTTGAATGGAAATATGTAGTGATGTTTTTTCAACATTTGATGTATCTTCGTCAGCTGTAGCTTCTCACCTCAGCAAGTTTTGTACATGGTGTTTTGTCATAATATGTCAAAAAAGGTTTAAAAGAGCTTTTCCACACATAATCAACTACTGCACATGGCATGAGCTCTGTGCAGCAGTCTTAATTTCAGACGGAGAGTGAGAGAGGACTGTGAGAGAGAAGGGAATGTGCTTTCATAATACATTCTTCACCAAGAGCACTGGGGAATAGTATTCAATAATACTTTTTTCTCGTCTGAGTAGCAGGGCCCAGCCTCTACAGAACTGAAACAGACCCAGTCTGGAAAAGACGACATGCTCTCCTCTAAAAACATTTGGCGCCTCAACATTATGGCTTTCAGGAGGAGAAGCGGTTGAGGTCTGACTGCGAACCTGTGCGTCATTGCCGCTAGGGCTACCACATTACACAAGCCTCCGACGTGATCTGAACCCCTGAGTGGAAAAGAGAGTTTAGAGAAAACGTGTCCAAGACACTCCACAGATAGAGGGCCCATCATCCTCACACACTTCTGATTCCTCCGTCTGGAAATGGTCCAAGGCTTCTAGATGGGATGCTGTCTTCTGTGGTTAGTTCAGAGGACGGGGAAGTATGATGTGATTTTATGATGAATGTGTCTCATCTGGTCCTGTTATCAGGAGATGCAGCAGACAGCGTCCCACCTTTCTGACTGCAATTACAGCGATAGCTTCAATCCACCAAACACCTCACTCCTTCTCACACATACTTTGACCCTTCTCCCCACATGCACATTTCAGTTAGGTAAAGCCAAGGAGATCTGTTATACCTGGTGAAAGCTATTTCTTTGCATTCACAGTTTATTTTTCAATCTGACATTTTGCAGATGGGACCGTAGACATTTTTCAGCCAATCACCTGAGCTGTAAATGTCATGCGAGTAATCTCTCCTGGAGCAGCAGGAAAATGACATCATGACTTGTCAATTTTAAGATTTTAAAGGGATAGTTCACCCAAAAATGAACATTCTGTCATTTACTCATCGCCGTGTTGTTCCAAACCTGTATGTTTTTCTTCATTCTGTGGAACAGGAAAGAAGATATTTTGAAGAATGATTCAGCTGTTGTTGTTTTTTTCATGCAATGAAAGTCAGTGGGGACCAAAACAACGTTGGGCTACTGTTATTTTAGTTTTATTTATATAAATATATATTATAGTATTTAATAATATTTAGAATTAGCTTTTATTTTCTATTTAAATGTAAGTTTTAGTATTTTATGTGCTTTTCTGAATTTTATTAGTTTTGTTTTAAACATTTCTGTTTAGCTTTCATTTCTTTTTTCCTGTTTTAGTTTTTATTCATTTTAGTACTTCAATTTCTCAACATTTTTATTTCAGTTATTTCCCAATATTTAAATTTTTTGTTCAACGTGTTTTTTTATTTTTAGATTTTTAAACAATATTATATTTTATTTCAGCTTTATTTCAGTTAATAAAAATATTTTAATATATTTTGCTTTCATAATGTTCTTCATAAAGCTTTTTTTGGGGGGGGTCCAGATGGTGTAGTTATGGCATCTACCAGCAGGGGCTAAAAGGGTCATGCTAACCACTCAATTTTGACTGCTTGGGCAAAGTACACAAAGGCAAATACTTTGGCAGTGTGAAGCCTTAATGGCGAGGCAATGCTGTAACCATGGATGCCCACCTTTGGGATGGCCCAATAACTCTGCTGACTGCTTTTTATGATGTTGGTTGACTCTGCCAGGCTGGGCCTGATGAAATGCATTTCTTTCTTTATTACATTACATGACTCCTACCGACCTGACGGAGGCTTTTATATATGGACCATTCATAATTGCTGCACGCTTATTGGTTGTGTTGCTCAGAAAGCCTTTGTCCATGTCCAACCATCTGCCTTGTTAATTCTGGGGCAATTTTCAGTCACTGAATCTTGTTTACAAGGTCCATCTCAGACACTGAAAACCATATTTCCCTGTGCTTTAGATTCCTTTATCTCAAGGTGGATGTAAATGTGTGCCTTGGAGAAGCCATATCTCAGAAATAAAAAGAAGCAAAGCTTATCCAAACCATTATAGATGTCTCTTTTCATTCAGCTTGTAATAGCTTACTGCAGATTCAATTCCCATTTGAGTTTTTATTTTTTTACCGTGCAACGGAGGAAAATGATACGAAATCCATTACACATGCTCAATCAGTGAGAGAGACTAGACAGAGAATCTGGCCCAATGCAGACTGAGAAGCATATGGGAACTGTTGGACACACCAATAGGTTGAACTTTTACTTCGGGTTTATGAGAGGTGATGTCTTGTATTGTGGCCAGCGAACCCTCACCAAAGGTGAAGGAATAAATGTATATGTAAGACAGAATTGAGTGTCACACTTATAAAGTATGTGGATTGTTATGAACTGTCATTATGGAGAATCTTCTTCTTTTTTTTTACATTATTCATAAACCTACTGATGCTTGTTTGCCAACTGTAAATGTATTCTCTGGTGAGAGGACCAGTAATCCACATCGTTTTTTTTAATATAGTGCCACTAGGAGGCAGAGTTTCTGACCTTGACTGTGCAACCACAAACCATGTTACATGGGAATGTGAGGAACACACACAGGCTCACAGTCTGTGCCTCTGGTGCTGTGTGTGCATCTGAGAAATTTTAGATGACAAAGGCCTCTTTTCTTTCTATGTAAATTGCAAAAGACAGAATTGAGTGTCACACTTATAAAGTATGTGGATTGTTATGAACTGTCATTATGGAGAATCTTCTTCTTTTTTTTTACATTATTCATAAACCTACTGATGCTTGTTTGCCAACTGTAAATGTATTCTCTGGTGAGAGGACCAGTAATCCACATCGTTTTTTTTTATATAGTGCCACTAGGAGGCAGAGTTTCTGACCTTGACTGTGCAACCACAAACCATGTTACATGGGAATGTGAGGAACACAGTCTGTGCCTCTGGTGCTGTGTGTGCATCTGAGAAATTTTAGATGACAAAGGCCTCTTTTCTTTCTATGTAAATTGCAATTGTTGTTGTTGTTGTTGTTGTTTTTGATTATTGTACCTTAAAAATTCATTGGTAACACCTCACAATAAGGTTCTTATCAGTGATAACTTCAGTGTCTCATTTGGCTTGTTAATTATCTAAAAATTCTTGAAACAAGCTTAATTTACTTGATTTTTTTTATTATAAAGAATATAAAAAAAGATATTTTGAGAAATGTCTCAGTGTTTTTTAATGATTGTCCATGCAATGGAAGTCATATAGCCAAAACTGTTTTGTTACCAACAATTTTTCAAAATAGTTTCTTTTGTGTTCTACAGAAGAAAGTCATACAGGTTTAGAACAACATGAAGGTAAGAAGATAACTTTTTTTTTTTTGATGAATTATCCCTTTATGACCTGATTTTATACATTTTATCTTGAATACAGGT